TTACCTCACAGACTGTTGAGTCTCCTTCTGTCTAGTTTCATCCATGAGCCTGTCTCGTTTGATCCATGTTAGTAGTCTCCTTCTGTCTCATCCATGTTTGTATTCTCCTTCTGTCTCGCGTTCTTCTGGATTTACATGTTTACCTCACAGACTGTTTACATGTTTACCTCACAGACTGTTTACATGTTTACCTCACAGACTGTTGACATGTTTACCTCAGACTGTTGACATGTCTGCATCACAGACTGTTTACATGTTTACCTCACAGACTGTTGACATGTTTACCTAAGACTGTTGACATGTTTACATCAGACTGTTGACATGTTTACCTCAGACTGTTTACATGTTTACCTCACAGACTGTTGACATGTTTACCTCACAGACTGTTGACATGTCTGCATCACAGACTGTTTACATGTTTACCTCACAGACTGTTTACATGTTTACCTCACAGACTGTTTACATGTTTACCTCACAGACTGTTGACATGTCTGCATCACAGACTTTTTACATGTTTACCTCACAGACTGTTTACATGTTTACCTCACAGACTGTTGACATGTTTACATCAGACTGTTGACATGTTTACCTCAGACTTTTTACATGTTTACCTCACAGACTGTTGACATGTTTACCTCACAGACTGTTGACATGTTTACATCAGACTGTTGACATGTTGACATCACAGACTGTTTACATGTTTACCTCAGACTGTTGACATGTTTACCTCAGACTGTTGACATGTCTGCGTGTGGCTTCAGATCAGAGGAACCTGGGCATGTCGATGCGAGTCGAGCGCTCGTCTCTGGATCAGGTGAAGAAGCGCTTTGAGGCGAACAAGAAGAAGATGGAGGAGAAGCAGAAGGAGTACGACTTCGAGGAGCGAATGAAGGAGCTCAGAGAGGAGGTGAGACACTTCCTGTAGTTTCTCTGACGCTCTCTCTGTAGTTCTTCCTGTATTTTTGTAGTTCTTCCTGTAGTTCCTCTGACGCCTTCACTGGTTGAGCTAGAGACGAGACTTTGTAGTTCTTCCTGTAGCTTTGTAGTTCTTCCTGTAGCTTTGTAGTTCTTCCTGTATTTTTGTAGTTCTTCCTGTAGCTTTGTAGTTCTTTGTAGTTCTTCCTGTAGTTCTTCTTGTAGTTTCTCTGACGCTCTCTCTGTAGTTCTTCTTGTAGTTCTTCTGACGCTCTCTCTCTTGTTAGGAGGAGAAGGCGAAGGCGTATAAGAAGGAGAAGCAGAAGCAGAGGAAGCGCCGGGCGGACGACGACGATCTGGAGGAAGACGACGAGATGGCCGCCGTGATGGGATTCTCCGGGTTCGGATCCTCGAAGAAGATCAAATGAAGATCCTGCCACGCTCTTATTTTGGTAGTCCTGCTTCCTGTTGGAGAGGAAGTGAAGGCGAGACAAAATAATGGACCAAAAAATAAAAGCGCGACACCTTCAGGGTCCTGCAGATAAAACCGTATCTGTCAGCTTCAGGAGGAGCTGCTCTTCACACAAACAAGTTGTTGTTGTTGTTGGTAAACATGTAAATAAAGTTAATTCAAAGTCTTTTAGTTCCAAGAATTTGAGTTTAAAACAGGTGGATTATTTAAGAACTGGATATCCGTGTCAACATTGAACTCATTTTATTTTCATCATGTTCAGTTTGTCTGGGACATTTTAATAAACACGTGTTTTTTTTAACCAGCTTTGTTTGTGTCATTGAATGCATCATCAGAATGCTTGTGTTGCCTTCACGGACCTTCTGTAAACTTGAGCTTCAGTTCATTTAAGTTTAGGAAAAAAATTGTTTTATATTATATATATTAGGGCTGTCAAACGATTAACATTTTTAATCAGATTAATCACAGCTTAAAAATGTATTAATCAGATTAATCACCATTAATCACTATGTCCAAAATATGCCATTTCTTTATGTATTTTGTTGTGGGAATGGAAAGATAAATGAAAGAAGGCAGATATATATCCATTTAACATATATGGGTCATTCCAGAATTGAAGGACAATTTAGACACCAACATTTTTAACAAATGAACCTTTAATTTTATTTAAAAAATATATGTATTTAGGAAAAACATAATAAACCATCTAAAAAAGTGATTTGCCCAGCTAGGCATCAATTGTATATTTTCCGATGAAGAATTACCCCTGTTACTCTAATTATAGTAACAGGGTTGAAAATCATTGCTAATTTGAGTTTTAACCTCAGGAATTATTGCTAGATGTAGCATGTAGTGCTACTTTCAAGGCAAGGACAAACTTGGATATCGAATGAAAGAAAGATGACTTTGAAATGAATATGCTTTATTCTGATAATATCAGTAACAGGGTTGAGTGGGGCAGAGTGCCACACACTTGATATTTTAAATAGTATTTTGAAACAACTTTTTCTACAACTTTATATACATTTTGTCTCAAGACAAGTATGTTTAACACAACAAGTGTATGTTTTAGCTTTTTGGGCATGGATTATTAGATTTTTTATATGGGGGACATGAAATTTCCTCCAATTCTGGAATGACCCATATATGTTTATTATAACATTGTTCTGTGTGTCAAAATGAAAGACAGCCCACACACCTATCAATCATCAAACCGTGGGGTCTTAATTCATTACGTGTTGATTTCTATCA